AGTTAGTTACATGAATTCAGATATGGAATGAAATCGGATAGGGATGAATGGGTTTAAGAGTTTCTAAGAGTTTAAGAGTTTTAAGAGTTTTTAAGAGTTTTAGCCAAATGCTTTATAATATAGTATAGATAGTATAGATTATATTCGTTTAATAAACTATTATTCTAACATTGATTATATTATATTATCAAAAACTACCTCCAACTTCAATAGTTTTTGACAATATTTCTCTTTCTTATCAGTTAGAATATAATAGAAAAAAAATCTCTTTCATATTAATCATTTTTGGAAAAAAAAATTCAAATTTGAAGAATTTCACACTTTCTGTGTTTTGGAGAAATATTTTGGAGAATATGTTGTAACAAAAAACTTGTTCAAAATCTTGGTTTGGAAATTTTGTTGGAGTTGTGTTAGATGCATTATTGTATTCTTAAAAAATTAAGAATTTAAGTGCTCATTTGATTTACAAAATTTGGTGAGATCTAGAATTGGATCCAGTTCCACTTTTCGTTTAAGGGAAGGTTAAAATCCTTGAATTTCAATCAAATGCTATAAATATTGAATTTAGAAATCTCATTGGGATAATTGCTATTTCACAGGATTTCAAGCGAGTTGTTTGTAATAATGTTTTTAAAATGTGTTAAAAACATTTGTGTTGTAATAAGTAATTAATAAAAGATAATTTAATTATCTATATTTTGTTCTTATAAATGATCTATAAAAAATGAAATTCAGTTCAATTTCAGATCGTCCAAACCAAACATGTTAAAGATTTCAAATCATTTCAATTCTAAATCATTCCACAAAAATAATCCCTCTAAAATATTCCGTCATTACCAAATTTCCCCATAAGAGTTTTTAAGAACAAAATCTAAACTGTTTTATGATATGGGGGGTGTGTGTGTGTGTGTGTGTATATATTCAGACGTGATAATACGGCACTTATATTCAGACACATATTATCATATATGATATGTACAAAATTCATATGTTAAACGAAACTTATCACATATAATTCAAAAACATGGATCCAAAAATTAGAGAAAAAATGGTGAAAAATATTATGAATTAATTGTAGATATCACATGTGATATTTGATAAAAAAATTTGAACTTTTCTTTATTAAAGTATATCTAGAAAAAAAAACTTTATAAAATAATTATGAATTATTAAATAAAAAAAATCTAAAAGATATAATTAAATTTGGCGAAGATTTATCCAATTAAAAATGATAATTATCCTATTTTCTAAAAAATTAATGTTATTTTTTAGTTGATGGATTATGTGGTTCATATTCTTTTTCGTGTTCTCGTAAATTAGTTAGCTTTTCGCATGATCACACCTATATATATGTACATAAGTGTATGTATATGTATATATACCATTAAATGAATAATTACCAAAATGTTTCTTAATTTTTCATTTGATTTGTATGTGAATGATAGTCATGTTTTTTTTATAGTGAGAATTGAAGACTGTAACATCCCGTCTCACATCGGTTGGTGAGGTGAACAAAGCACTCCTTATAAGGGTGTGGATACCTCATCCTAGCATGACCGGTTTTGGGGCTT